CAGTCAGTCAGTGTGTCTGTATGAACCCCTCTCTCTCTCAGGCGGGAGTATGAAGAGTCCATGATGGTGCGTCTGAACGTATCACGAAAGGACCGCGTCTCAAAGAAGAGGAGCATGATGGGAATGTCAGCGCAGCTGAACTCGATCACTCATTTTGGTGACATCAGCGCACTGACCGGTGAAGCACAGGTGAGACACAGGCTGTTATACCTCAAAGTAGAATCTGGGGGTGTGCAGTCAGTGCGTCTGTCTAAACCCTGTCTTTCTTTCAGGGCCTGGGGAATCCTCGCCCAAAGAAGAAAAAGAGGCTGCTGAAGAAAAAGAACAATAGAGGTGACTAAAATGTGACTGTTTGTCTCTGTATGTGCGCGCAGTCTCCAATGCGGGTGGACGTTCTGCCCCGTTTCCTCCAGCCACTCTCACGAGCAGCTCCTCTGCCGTGAGCCGACCTGCTTTCCCATCTTCCTGAGCAGCTCGGATTCCTATGCAAGTAACTAGGGGGTGTTAAGAAATTTGGCAAAACCCACTCGATCAGGGCCTTACACCTGCTTGTCTAGCTGTCAAGCTTCTTCATTTTCAAAGGCCGACTGACAAAAGACATGTTATTGTTTATCAACAGCTGGTTAACCGTCTGTACCCGGGCTTCAGGCTTTTACTGACAAACAATACCTAACAATCAAAGTGATTCCCAAAGCGAACAGTCATGTCTTTAAATTCAAGTAGGTAGCTGGGTCAAGGAACAAGAAAAGTAGTGAGATTCAGCCACTGAAGTCTCTTGATGACCAGATATTGGTAGTGTTGTATTGAAAGACAATTTCGGCGATGGACAGAGAAATCTGTTCATAAGGACAGTCATGGGGAAGATTCAGCTCATCCAGTGTGTTTGGTCGTTAGTAGCTAATTAATCCAAGGGTCTCATCCAGCTGTTTCTCGAGGTAATGCAGGGTATTGACTTCCACAGCGTGGCTGGACAGCTTGTTCCACTCTCCCGCCACCCTTTGTGTAAAGAAGCACCTAATCGTTTGCAATGCACCATGAAGGCTGCTTTCTGAGCTAAATTGTAACCATTTGCAATGGGACTGGCGTCCGTCTAGCCTGCGTGCCTGACCGCTCTCTTGTGCCCCGCTGTCAGGTTTCCGACGGCACCGGTAGGACGGGGAAGCTGCCAGTCTGAAGAGCCTGTCCCGGGAGCGAGGCGGTGGGAATACTGGGCCGTGCCCGAGCGTTTCTCGCGCCCCGTTTCTCGGGGGTTGAAGTTTCTTTGGGCGCTTGATCGAGGTTCCCCGTTAGTCTGAAGCTGGGGTTCGACGTTAAGAGACCCCCCGTGACCGATGGACATCTCCAGCTTTGCTCTGAAAGGGAACTTCGTCGGGGCTCTTTGGAAATGGGGTTGTGGACCTCAAGTCCTTCTTTTGACACCTGTCTGTCACCCCAATATGTCATCGCTTAGATCACTTTTCCAGCACGAAAGGTGATGTAATTGATGGGAAGATTATTTGGAATACAGGGTGGGATGTGCAGGATGATCCTTCCCCGCTGTCCTGACAACAGCAGCATGGGATTTGTCGACACCTGGTCTGGGTGCTTTTCTCTCTGACGCCGTGTTTTGACTGCAGCTGTTGCAGGATCCGGTTGTTGAAAAGAAATGTTGGTTTCTGTGAAAGTGCTTTTTATTTAGAAACTCTAGCGTGCATCCTAGCTGTTGAGAGGCAGCGTTGGGTACAGATGTTTATCCCTCATGAACAGACAAGTGGACTGTGCAAGAATTGGCATTTTTAATAAATGAAATTGTGTACTTGGTTGTTTTTGTCTTGACTTGTAGGAGTGTGTCTGCCTGCTGTTGTGTGCTCGTTGGAACTGAAATTTTCAAATCAACGCCTCTCCGATATTTGAGTGGCTAGCAGGCACTGATTTAACTACACTAGCGATGTGTTTGGAAGTTTAGAGAGTTTTTAGTTGTTATGATGCAGATATAACACAAGTATTAAACTGATTTTGAAATTAGTTCTCAACATATATTTATCAGTATAGGCATATACAGCAAATAGACTCATCAGTATATTTTCCAAATAGTGGGTACCTTCAAGAGCAGACCTGTGCTACCTCCATGTCAGTGATTTTGCTATTTATGACTCATTACTCATTATGAGTTCCATCCATGAACACCAGGGTATATTTTCACCTCGTCCATCCGCCGTCAGTACCAGCCTTTTCCAAGGAGGGTCTGGAGTCTAACCTGGCAGACTCATGTGCGATTCCCTCCAGCAGGGGGCACTTCACTGAGAATCTGGACATCTCCAGACACCTGTGAGCCTGGTCAGTGCATCTTTGAACTGCCAAACTCCTTGGAGAAAAATCCACAAGAGCCTGCAGACTCCACACAGAAGGACTGCCAGCCCAGTGTCAAAGCCTGGACCCTGGAGCTGGGTAAAGACAGTGATACCTGCTGTGTCTTTGTCCACGTTTTCTTTCTCTTCCCGCAAGTCTGCAGAATTTGGGATAAAAGCTGCGATTTTGGGTAATATTGTTTTAATTCTGATAAGGCACGAGACGTGTCAGCTGTTATGTTTAGTCTGGAGTAGCAGACTCAAACATTTTAATGTGACGCGAGAGCTGATGGGAATATCCCGTGAACACAGAACGCAACAAGAAGCGTGTTTGTAAGAGGACGTTTGGAAAAAGCATTTATAGTAAACGTATTAGTCATTATTAGTACATTTCATATTCGTAAATCAAAATGGTCCAGTAATACTCCCTTTTTTAGTACTTCTGAGATGGAGCTGAAACATTTAAATTCTATTAAAAATAGAAAAATGCTAAAGCAAGGAAAACAGTTGATATGTAAAAAATAGTCATGTAAATAATTTACCTCATTACTTCTGGCAGTTAATTGTTTTTTTCTCTTTTATCTGTTTCAGCTCCTCTAGTTGTATTTGTATTAGTAATTTTTTTATACATTTAATTGCCAGCAGCCATATCACTCTGAAACTCACAACTGTCAGCCCACTGGAGCTCAGCAGGTTAGAGCCTGGTCAGTAACCTGGAGAGGAGACTCCTGGGAAAGCTAAGGTTGCTGCTGGAAGAGGTGTTACTGGGGCCAGCAGGGGGCGCTCACCCTGTGGTGTGTGTGGGTCCTAATGCCCCAGTATAGTGACAGGGACACTGTACTGTAAACAGGTGCCGTCCATCGGGTGAGATGTAAAACTGAGGTCCTGACTCTCTGTGGTGGAGGAGGGGATCCCCAATACCTGTAAAGCGGTTTGAGTGGAGTGTACAGAAAAGCGCTATATAAGTGCAATCAATTATTAATTATTATTATTAATACAAGTTTTTAAAAAAAGAAAAAGCCCGTCGCGCTCTCGGCCGTGTTGCCGGAAGAACGCCGGAAACACGCTTCTCCTGGTAGCGCAACATCCGGGCAGAGCGGGTCTGCTTCCGACGGACGCGGGTGCGAGCTGCACAGAAATGAGGGTTTTAGAACGATGAAATACATCAGACACGTCGACGTTTACTATACATGGAAGTACCGAATATCAAAATCAGGAAATCAGCCAAATATGTGAATGTCCCGAGGCCAAACATGTTAAAATATCACTATGAACTTATCCATCTTATCAAGCGTTCGTCTGTCTCATGTCGTGTCTCCACGTAAGTGCAGGTTCGGGACGTTTTGAGTTCATCTTCACCCCTTGGTCGTACTCGCTGGTGTAAGTCGGTTTCTAAAAAAAAAAAAGGGGGTTTGTTATGCGGAAATGCCAGTGAAAGCTGAGAGCTTACGGTAGCTGGCGATAGGAAGCCGCGGAATGCAGCACGACTCGGCGGGCAGGACCGGGCGCTCCCCGGCCGGCTCCTCCAGGACCTGCGATCCCACGCCCAGCCCTAGGGATCCTAGCCCTGCCATGCCCGCCTCCGACCCCAGAGGGCAGCGCTGCAGGGGCCGAGTCCAAATGAAGCTCGGTACCAAACAAGCTGCAGAATAACAAGACAGCACGCGAGGGAATTAGGTTCATTTAGTCATTAATTGTTTAACGATGGGCATTGATTTACACCACAAGAAAAAGGTCTGTGCGGATACCATGTGGGGATCTGTATGTGATATATCTATATATGGGGCGGAGCGGTGGCTCTGTGGCTCAGGATCTGTGTCTGTGGCTGGAAGGTTGCCGGTTCGTATCCCTCAGGCGGCAGAGGCATCCTAGTCCGTTGGGCCCCTGAGCGAGGCCCTTAACTCCAGCTGCTCCAGGGGCTGTACAATTGCTGACCCTGCGCGCTGACCCCCAGCTTCTCTTGCTGTCCGTTTCTCATGGAGAGCAAGCTTGGGTCTGAGAAAAGACAAATTCCTAATACATGCAATTGTATATGGCCAATAAAGTGATCTTATCTAATCTTATCTCTTATAACCAAACAACTAAGGTATCAATGTTATGGCAGGTAGCAAATGTCTGTTATTAGGCACCAAATAAAACAAGCTAGGAGGAAGAGCATTTAACACTGAGAATAGGCAGTTCTTTACGCAGAGAGCGGTAGGAGGGTGGAACAAGTCGTCCTACTGCGTTGCTGAAGCTGCTGCCCTGGCTTCTTCTAACAGAAGGCCAGTTGAGTTAGCTCCTCACTTCCAGGCAGGCCAATCCTCTGGCCTGTGACCTCCGTCGTGCTCGTAATCGAAGGGGGGTCTGGATCCAGCTGCAGGATTGGACTCCGGCCTCTCCGGGGGGCGCTCGTCTCCAGAGCCCCGCCCCCCGCTGCCTCGGGGAAGAGCCGCTTCCTCCTGGCCCTTGAGGAGCACAGGGCGGAGCCCAGCGCACAGATGAGTGAGCTCCTCCGCCACAGAGCCAGCAGAGAACACACTGCAGCTGCACTGCTGAACACCCTCACTGCTGACTACACTATACTGCTGAACACCCTCACTGCTGACTACGCTATACTGCTGAACACCCTCAGTGCTGAC